CCCGGCGTGCGTGCGAGCGAGCGGCGGGCCAAGGCTGCTCCCGGGGGCGGTGGAGATGGCAGCGTGTGTGCCAGAGTGAGGAGGCTGGGCAAGGGGGCGGGGAGAGGGCTTTGGTGGAGAGGAGGGGGTGGGGGCCACCACTACAGCCCCGCTCTCGCGAGACGAGGCCGAAGGACTACGGCTCAGCAGGTGCGCGCTGCCTGGGAGCAGGTGTGCGCCCAACTTTAAAACCCGAAGTGCGTGTTGGAGAAGCGTCAGCGTGAACCTGGGCACGTCCTCTCTGGCTTTCTGGCTCCGTGTGTGCGTGTGTGTGTGTGTGCGCGCGCGCGCGCGCCTGTCTTTTTGTTCGTCTGTCCTTTCTTGTTACTGGGGAAAATAAAGGAAACCTATGATCTTTCACGCGCTGTAGGAAGCTGCCACCGGGAACTGGTACCCTGGTCTGCAGTCACCCTGACGGGTGGCTTTCCAAGTGGAAAGGAAAAGGGGCTTTGCCTTAACCTGATTGTCACCATGTCCTGTGTGTCCTGCATGACCTGATCTCAGCCTACCTAACCAACCTTATATCAGCAAACTATGGCCCCAGGGCTAAGGATGGATTTTACACTTTAAAATGGTTGGGGCGGGGGGGATCAAAAGAAGAAGATTTTGACATGTGAAAATTATAAGAAATTCTAATTTCGGTGTCCATAAATAAAGTTTTATTAGAGCACCGCCACCCATTTGTTTATTGTCTGTGTTTACTTTTTTGCGTTATAAAGGCAGAATTGCAGAATTGAATAGTTGCAATGGACACTGTTATGACTTGCAAGGCCTACAATATTTACTCTCTGGACCTTTACAGAAAAGTTAGTCGACCCTAATTAAACCACCAAACATATTCTTGCCTCAGAGTTCTTTGCCCTCTATGTCCCCTCTGCCTGGACCACATTTCCCTCTAATCCCCTCCTGGTTGGCTGCTTGTCACTCAGTATCATCAACTCAAATGTCACCTCGGAGAGGTTTTATCTCCCTGAGCATCTTGACTAATAGTACTGCCAACACACACTGCTCAAAGAATGTATTTAGGATAATCAGTAAGAGGCACCTCTTTCTCCAGGTGAACACAGCTCCATGCCAGGGAGCTGGGCTTATGGGGCAGAGTAGACTCAGAACATATGGTACAATCTATGTCCCTTAAAGGAAGCCACTTGAGAAGTAGAGAGAGCAACAGCCAGTCATGGCAAACATTTTTTTTAGATTGTGGGTCATGGGTTTTATAGCTCATACAGAGCTGAAGCAGCCTTTTCAAAATCCCTCAGTTGATGAGAAGCTCAAGTGAGTTCTATGTGCTCTCAATCTTTTAGACTATGAAGTTGAAGAATTCCAATTCTCTAAGAAAATTCTCTTTTCACCTATTTTTCCCGGTTTTTTGTTGTTGTTGTTTATGGGTGTTTTTTTTCTTGCTTTGTTTTTCTTGAACATATTCATCAAGGTTAAAACCCTTGTCTGATTCCAATACCTTGGTCACCTGCAGGGTCTGTTTCTATTGACTATTTTTCTCTTAGTCTTCAGTAATTCAGTCTCGTATCTTGGCAAGCCTTGTAATTTTTGTTGAATGCCCTACAATCTGTGCATGAAAAAAAAATATGTAGAGTCTCCAGGTGATGCTATCTATTATAATTCTAGAGCATGCTCACCCTTTCTCTGCAAGACAGATGGCATGGGGACTGACCATCTTAATCCAATCAGAGGCTGAGCTGGGAGGAGGCCGGGCTGCAGTTTTGATAAGACAGCACCTAACTTTGGTCCCCACCTCTATGGCTTTGCCTTTCAGGGATTCCAAATGAGAACTTCAGGTGTTCATGGAGGCCCCTAAACTCCCGGTCCTGAGCCCTAATCCTTGTCTCCATAACATGGCAAGACTGGACACTGCTCTCTTTTTCAGGGGCTTTCTGCTTGGCCTATTAGTCTATTGGCCTGCACTGTTTCAGAATTTGCTAAATACCTTGAGAGGAAACCACCATCTATCAGCTCCCTTTTCTGCCTCTCCCTTCTCCCTAGGATATTAGCCCCTCAACTCCCCAACTTTGTCTCTCCAGCCCTATGAGACTGCCAAAAGTTCTGCTGGTTTCTCTATCCCCCACCAGCAGAAAAAAGTGGCTGCAGAATGTCAACTCACCTCAACACAATTCCTCTCTCTCTCCAGAATGCTGGCCCCTCAAGTCCTGGTTGTCTCACAGCTCGCTGAATGCCTTTAAATAGATGATGATGATGATGATGATGGTGATGATGATGATGATTTGATCTGGCTTTTCTGGTTGTTTTCAGAGGAAGTGGAAGTTTAAGCAATGAAAGTAGCCCATCGGTCAGAAGTCATCAACAGGCATTGCTGTAAACATTTAGCACATAAATGCATTGTTTGACCGCCACCCCCACCCCCCATTTTTTTTCAATTGATGGCTATTGTGGACATTTGTTATGATTTGCACTCAGCCAGCTTCCTTTGACCACCCTTCTTATGTTTGGAAAATGCCCCACATTATGAGTCCCACCTCTCCATAAGTAAAACCAAAGCACTTTTCCAGAAGCTTCCTTGCAACGAGGTTTCATGTGATCCAGGCTCTGTCCTACTGCAACGTGAGCAACAAAAGCGGAGGCATCTATCTGATAGTGAACATGGCAGTCGATGAACCTGCTCCCAGGTGCCCTGCCTCTGTATAAGCTCAGTGTCCGTGCCAACAGCCCTGGCAGAGTGTTCACAGGGGCAGTCCCATGGTGTGGCTTTGGGCATCTTTCCTGGCTGCGCAGTCTAAGCCTGGCTCTCCTCCTCTCCTAGGGATTCTATAGATTTTTCTAACCACCTGTCTTCGTCTGTTTGGGTTGCCACAACAAAATACCACAGACTGGACGCTTAAACAACAGAAATGTTTCTCTCAGGGCTGAAGACTGGGAATCTGAGATCGGGGTGCCAGCACCGTCGGGCTTTGGTGAGAGCTTCCTTCCTGGATTGCAGATGGTACCTTCATGCTGTGTCCTCACACGGCAGACGTGGCTCATACAGCCTCCTCTTCTCATAAGGCCATGGCCCTCTTGGGTTAGGGCTTCACCCTTTTGACGTTATCTAATCTTAATTGCCTCCTAAAGTCTGTAAAGATACATTGGGGTGAGGACTTCAACATAGGAATTTGGGGGCACAATTCAGTCCACGGCACTGCCCGATTAAAGCAATTCTGCTTAAACTACCTGGAGTAGATTGTATCTTTTGCAACAAGGAACCCTGACTAATATTCTTGACAATAATTCAGGAGATGTAACCAAAAAAAATGGAGATTTCTGGCCTTTCCAGGGAAACGGGACAATCTGGCCTCCATGGGGATCTCGATGTGAGAGGCAGCTATCCCTTTCGGATGGGGCAGAGGCTGTCCAGCTCACTGAGTGCCCACCCAGTCCTCTTCATTCATTATTTATATTTCCTGCCTGGTCCCTGTGGGCATCTGCATTTGCTGTCCCTGGTCTGGCTTACGGTGGTTTGCACCTTGATAAGAACCTCACCAAGCTCAAGCTTGGAGAACTAGAGCTACCTGATGAGAACTGCATTGTTGGTCGTGGTGTATTGCATCCCGGAAAGTCCATACTACCTCTGAATGACACATGTCTCCGAGTGGCTTTATCAATAGCAGGAATAAATGATTGTTACTGGGCCACTGCAACCACTGAACTTGGCAATAGCTCATCAGATCCCATAGCTTTCAGTTTTAACTATAAGAACAGTCTCATAGTTGGGTATCAGAAGTCCAATCACAACCTCTGTCTCATATCTAGTTTGATACCTTCTTCCCTGCCCCTCTGGCTCAGCAATCTGCAGTGGAGACCAGGGCAGGTGTGTCCTTTCTTGCCTCCTCCGTAGCTCACCTTGCTACAGTAGCAGAGGAACAAGTAGAAAAGGGATCCTATGTTAAGAACAGGTGAGCACAGGTATAGTTCTCCCTTGAGTGCCTGACACTCCCCGCCCCACCCCCATGTCCTGGAAAGCACTGCCTGTGCTGGTTCTTTTGCATAGGATGCCCCGGGAGACCTTTGAAGACCTCCCTGAGGACCTTATAGGGAGTCGGTGGACATGCTGGGTGCCCGCTGACACACCCCTTTTACATTCATAACCCAGGAAGTACTCCCACATCCTCTTTCTGAGGTCCCCTTGCCTGGCAGTCTGTCCTCTTGCATGAGTCTTTTCAGGTTGACGCAAGCCTAAGCACACGCTCTGGCCCACGGGAAACAGGACGCACCTTTGTCCTGCTGCCCTCTCTCCTCACCCTGTCATCACAGGCAGCCCCAGGCAGGCAGCCCTCAGCTGGCAGTGAGATG